GAAACCAACAGGACCCTGAACAGCTTCTACCCCCCAGCCAAGCCATAAGACAGCTAAATAGTTAGTCCGGGTAGCTATTTGGTTAACTTTTTAACTGTCTGCATTGACCCTTTTTGCACTAACTTTTTTGACTCATCACATACGCTGCTGCTACTGTTTATTATCTATCCTTGTTGTCTAGTCACTCTATTCCTAGTTATAAATTATGTACATATCTACCTCAATTACCACGTACCCCTGCACATCAACTCGGTGCTCGTACCCGTGTATATAGCCAAGTTATCGTTACTCATTGTGTAATTATTATTACTTTTATTATTAGGTGTTATTATATTTATATTTTTTATCTATTTTCTTCCTCTCTGCATTGTTGACAAACAAAATTGTATTGTATTTGAGTAGTGCGCTGCACCACCACTCTCTAAGTATCCAATCATACTTACCGGTATAAAAACCATGTAGTAATCATGCTGTGCTGTGATACTAAACCGGTTTCAATATGTCCTCAGGATTTTGTCCCGCTGTATCAAGACTTTGAGAACTTCTACACCCGTAACCTGTACATGAGAGTGAGAGACAGCTGGAACAGACCTATCTGCAGTCTGCCCGGCCCTGTGTTTGACGTGATGGAGAGGGTGTCCCCAGATCACAACTGGACATTCAGGTACTGACACTTATTCACCTTGAATCCCAAATCAACCCCTACCCCATATGCACTTGTAGATCTGAGATGATGTAAGCGTGGCAGCAATATGGTGGTAGCTTCATCGTGCCTTCTGAAAGATGTATATGTGGTAGCAATATGGTGGTAGCAATATGGTGGTAGCTACATCTTGCTCTCTGAAAGGCTTGTTGTCATCCAATCCTGTCAGACCTAAACATGTGTCTAGGCTGTAGGGGCTAGGGGTTGATAAACTAGTATCTAGGGTGTAGGGGCTAGGGGTTGGTTTGGGATTCAGACTCACACTGGCCATAAATGATAATCAGTGTCAGGTGTTAAGAGCTAATTGAATAACGCAAATATTGATTCATTTGTTTGTGAAGGTTTGTATACTGTATTGTTAACTGGTAGACTCAGGGTGAATAATAGCTTATTGTTGTTAACAGGTAGACTCAGGGTGAATAATAGCTTATTGTTAACTGGTAGACTCAGCGTGAATAATAGCTTATTGTTAACTGGTAAACTCAGGGTGAAATAATAGCTTATTGTTGTTTACTGGTAGACTCAGGGTGAATAATAGCTTATTGTTGTTAACTGGTAGACTCAGGGTGAATAATAGCTTATTGTTGTTAACTGGTAGACTCCGGGTGAATAATAGCTTATTGTTAACTGGTAGACTCAGCGTGAATAATAGCTTATTGTTGTTAACTGGTTGACTCAGGGTGAATAATAGCTTATTGTTGTTAACTGGTAGACTCAGGGTGAATAATAGCTTATTGTTGTTAACTGGTAGACTCAGGGTGAATAATAGCTAATTGTTGTTAACTGGTTGACTCGGTGAATAATAGCTTATTGTTAACTGGTAGACTCAGGGTGAATAATAGCTTAGTGTTGTTAACTGGTAGACTCAGGGTGAATAATAGCTTATTGTTAACTGGTAGACTCAGGGTGAATAATAGCTTATTGTTGTTAACTGGTAGACTCAGGGTGAATAATAGTTAATTGTTGTTAACAGGTAGACTCAGGGTGAATAATAGTTTATTGTTGTTAACTGCTGGACTCATGGTGAGTAATAGCTTATTATTGTTAACTGGTAGACTCAGGGTGAATAATAGCTTGTTGTTGTTAACTGGTTGACTCATGGTGAATAATAGCATATTGTTGTTAACTGGTAGACTCAGGGTGAATAATAGCTTATTGTTGTTAACTGGTAGACTCGGTGAATAATAGCTTAGTGTTGTTTACTGGTAGACTCTGTGAATAATAGCTAATTGTTGTTAACAGGTAGACTCAGGGTGAATAATAGCTTATTGTTGTTAACTAGTAGACTCAGGGTGAATAACATGTTATTGTTGTTAACTGGTAGACTCGGGGTGAATAAATGCTTATTGTTGTCAACTGGTTAACTCAGGGTGAATAATAGCTTATTGTTGTTAACTGGTATACTCAGGGTGAATAATAGCTTATTGTTGTTAACTAGTCGACTCAGGGTGAATAATAGCTTATTGTTGTTAACTGGTAGACTCAGGGTGAATAATAGCTTATTGTTGTTAACTGGTAGACTCAGGGTGAATAATAGCTTATTGTTGTTAACAGGTAGACTCAGGGTGAATAATAGCTTATTGTTAACTGGTAGACTCAGCGTGAATAATAGCTTATTGTTAACTGGTAAACTCAGGGTGAAATAATAGCTTATTGTTGTTTACTGGTAGACTCAGGGTGAATAATAGCTTATTGTTGTTAACTGGTAGACTCAGGGTGAATAATAGCTTATTGTTAACTGGTAGACTCAGGGTGAATAATAGCTTATTGTTAACTGGTAGACTCAGCTGGAATAATAGCTTATTGTTAACTGGTAGACTCAGCGTGAATAATAGCTTATTGTTGTTAACTGGTAGACTCAGGGTGAATAATAGCTTATTGTTGTTAACTGGTAGACTCAGGGTGAATAATAGCTTGTTGTTGTTAACTGGTTGACTCATGGTGAATAATAGCTTAGTGTTGTTAACTGGTATACTCAGGGTGAATAATATATTATTGTTTACTGGTAGACTCAGGGTGAATAATATATTATTGTTGTTTACTGGTAGACTCAGGTTGGAAAATAGCTTATTGTTGTTAATTGGTTGACTCAGGGTGAATAATAGCTTATTGTTGTTAACTAGTCGACTCAGGGTGAATAATAGCTTATTGTTAACTGGTAGACTCAGGGTGAATAATAGCTTATTGTTGTTAACTGGTTAACTCAGCGTGAATAATAGCTTATTGTTGTTAACTGGTTGACTCAGGGTGAATAATAGCTTATTGTTGTTAACTGGTTGACTCAGGGTGAATAATAGCTTATTGTTGTTAACTGGTAGACTCAGGGTGAATAATAGCTTATTGTTGTTAACTGGTAGACTCAGGTGAATAATAGCTTATTGTTGTTAACTGGTAGACTCAGGGTGAATAATAGCTTATTGTTGTTAACAGGTAGACTCAGGGTGAATAATAGCTTATTGTTAACTGGTAGACTCAGCGTGAATAATAGCTTATTGTTAACTGGTAAACTCAGGGTGAAATAATAGCTTATTGTTGTTTACTGGTAGACTCAGGGTGAATAATAGCTTATTGTTGTTAACTGGTAGACTCAGGGTGAATAATAGCTTATTGTTGTTAACTGGTAGACTCAGGGTGAATAATAGCTTATTGTTAACTGGTAGACTCAGGGTGAATAATAGCTTATTGTTAACTGGTAGACTCAGCTGGAATAATAGCTTATTGTTAACTGGTAGACTCAGGGTGAATAATAGCTTATTGTTGTTAACTGGTAGACTCAAGTGAATAACATATTATTGTTGTTAACTGGTAGACTCAGGGTGAATAATAGTTTATTGTTGTTAACTGGTTGACTCATGGTGAATAATAGCTTAGTGTTGTTAACTGGTTGACTCAGGGTGAATAATAGCTTATTGTTGTTAACTGGTAGACTCAGGGTGAATAATAGCTTATTGTTGTTTACTGGTTGACTCATGGTGAATAATAGCTTATTGTTGTTTACTGGTAGACTCTGTGAATAATAGCTAATTGTTGTTAACAGGTAGACTCAGGGTGAATAATAGCTTATTGTTGTTAACTAGTAGACCTAGGGTGAATAACATGTTATTGTTGTTAACTGGTAGACTCAGGGTGAATAAATGCTTATTGTTGTCAACTGGTTAACTCAGGGTGAATAATAGCTTATTGTTGTTAACTGGTAGACTCAGGGTGAATAATAGCTTATTGTTGTTAACTGGTAGACTCAGGGTGAATAATAGCTTAGTGTTGTTAACTGGTTGACTCGGTGAATAATAGCTAATTGTTGTTAACAGGTAGACTCAGGGTGAATAATAGCTTATTGTTGTTAACTAGTAGACTCCGGGTGAATAAATGCTTATTGTTGTCAACTGGTTAACTCAGGGTGAATAATAGCTTATTGTTGTTAACTGGTAGACTCAGGGTGAATAATAGCTTAGTGTTGTTTACTGGTAGACTCGGTGAATAATAGCTTATTGTTGTTAACTAGTAGACTCAGGGTGAATAACATGTTATTGTTGTTAACTGGTAGACTCGGGGTGAATAAATGCTTATTGTTGTCAACTGGTTAACTCAGGGTGAATAATAGCTTATTGTTGTTAACTGGTATACTCAGGGTGAATAATATATTATTGTTGTTTACTGGTAGACTCAGGGTGAATAATATATTATTGTTGTTTACTGGTAGACTCAGGTTGGAAAATAGCTAATTGTTCTTAACTGGTTGACTCAGGGTGAATAATAGCTTATTGTTGTTAACTGGTTGACTCAGGGTGAATAATAGCTTATTGTTGTTAACTGGTTGACTCTGGGTGAATAAATGCTTATTGTTGTTAACTGGTTGACTCAGGGTGAATAATAGCTTATTGTTGTTAACTGGTAGACTCAGGGTGAGTAATAGCTTATTGTTTTTAACTGGTAGACTCAGGGTGAAAAATAGCTTATTGTTGTTAACTGGTTGACTCAGGGTGAATAATAGCTTATTGTTAACTGGTAGATTCAGGGTGAATAATAGTTTATTGTTGTTAACTGGTAGACTCAGCGTGAATAATAGCTTATTGTTGTTAACTGGTAGACTCAGGGTGAATAATAGCTTATTGTTGTTAACTGATAGAATCAGGGTGAATAATAGCTTATTGTATTATGTTGTAGGTTGGTTCCCGTTAAAACTGTGTAATTCAGTTAGGTTGTTTGAAAGTGAGTGTGTGTGTGTTTGTATGTTTGTATATCAGACATGAATGTGTGTAACAAAATTAATAGAAACAGGGTAGAAAGTGATTAGGGCATGTTCATGCTTTATCTGTCAGGTTAACAGGAAAACCCATAGACAACGTGATCAACATGGGTTTAACATCATGAAACGATCTGTATATGTGTGTGTGTGTGTGTGTTTTCAGGTTAACAGGGAAGACCATAGACAACGTCATCAACATGGGTTCCTATAACTACCTGGGTTTCGCTGAGAACAACGCTGATTTCCTGAAGACTGTAGCAGCCAGAACCCAGCAGTATGGTCTCGGGGTCTGCAGCACACGACAGGAAATGGGTGAGCGGTTGTGGCGGGGGATGTGTGTGTGTGTGTGTGGTGGGGGATGTGTGGGTTGGAGGGTGGGGCTGTTTTGTGGGCACTTTTAGGTGTTTGTGAAAGAGGGAGAGGGAGAGAGCTCTTCCCCCTCAATTTAAAATAGGTTAGAACTGAACTGCTCAAAGGGCTCTGGTCCAAATCAGTGCACTGTATTAGGAATAGCGTGCCATTTGGGAAGCAAACCTTGTCTGTGTGTTTGTAGAAAGCCATGACGCACTGGTATTGACTACTTGAGCCACTCCTTTAAAATGGTATCACTCCTCATCTGAGCAGTATCTATAGGCTTCCTGTCTGTTATCTATAGGCTTCCTGTCTGTTATCTATAGGCTTCCTGTCTGTTATCTATATGCTTCCTGTCTGTTATCTATAGGCTTCCTGTCTGTTATCTATAGGCTTCCTGTCTGTTATCTATAGGCTTCCTGTCTGTTATCTATAGGCTTCCTGTCTGTTATCTATAGGCTTCCTGTCTGTTATCTATAGGCTTCCTGTCTGTCATCTAAGGAGGATCTATAGGCTTCCTGTCTGTCATCGAAGCAGGATCTATAGTCTTCCTGTCTGTTATCGAAGCAGGATCTATAGTCTTCCTGTCTGTTATCTAAGGAGGATCTAAAATCTTCCTGTCTGTTATCTAAGGAGGATCTATAGTCTTCCTGTCTGTTATCTAAGGAGGATCTATAGTCTTCCTGTCTGTTATCTAAGGATCTATAGTCTTCCTGTCTGTTATCTAAGGATCTATAGTCTTCCTGTCTGTTATCTAAGGATCTATAGTCTTCCTGTCTGTTATCTAAGGAGGATCTATAGTCTTCCTGTCTGTTATCTAAGGAGGATTTATAGTCTTCCTGTCTGTTATCTAAGGAGGATCTATAGTCTTCCTGTCTGTTATCTAAGGATCTATAGTCTTCCTGTCTGTTATCTAAGGATCTATAGTCTTCCTGTCTGTTATCTAAGGATCTATAGTCTTCCTGTCTGTTATCTAAGGATCTATAGTCTTCCTGTCTGTTATCTAAGGATCTATAGTCTTCCTGTCTGTTATCTAAGGAGGATCTATAGTCTTCCTGTCTGTTATCTAAGGATCTATAGTCTTCCTGTCTGTTATCTAAGGATCTATAGTCTTCCTGTCTGTTATCTAAGGAGGTCTTCCTGTTGTTATTGACATATCTTCCTGTCTGTATCTAGGCATAGTCTTCCTGGTCGTATCTAAGATCTATAGTCTTCCTTGGTTAGTCTAAGGATCTAAGCACCTGTTTTATTGGATTATGTCTTCTGTGTACTAGGAGGATAAAGTTCTGTCTTATACTAGGTCAGTTTCCTTATAAGGGGGTTAGGCGTTTCTAAGGGATCTAAGTGTGTATGAAGCGATCTATGTCTCGTCTGTTACTAAGAGGATCATAGTTTCTGCGTATTAAGGACTATGCTTCCGTCTGTTACTAAGGGGATCTATAGTCTTCTGTTGTTTTAGGAGGATCTATAGTCTTCCTGTTTGCTGTTTACATTTACATGTACATCATTTAGCAGACGCTCTTATCCAGAGCGACTTACAAATTGGTGCATTCAACTTAGGATAGCCAGTAGGATAACCACCTATTTTATTTGTATTTTTATGGGGGGTGGGGGAAGAAGGATTACTTTATACTATTCCAGGTATTCCTTAAAGAGGTAGGGTTTCAAGTGTCTCCGGAAGGTGGTCAGTGACTCCGCTGTCCTGGCGTCGTGGGGGAGCTTGTTCCACCATTGGGGTGCCAGAGCAGCGAATAGCTTTGACTGGATTGAGCGGGAACTATGCTTCCGCAGAGGAAGGGGAGCCAGCAGGCCAGATGTGGATAAACGTAGTGCCCTCGTTTGGGTGTAGGGACTGATCAGAGCCTGAAGGTACGGAGGTGCCGTTCCCCTCACAGCTCTGTAGGCAAGCACCATGGTCTTGTAGTAGATGCGAGACTCAACTGGAAGCCAGTGGAGTGTGCGGAGGAGCGGGGTGACATGAGAGAACTTGGGAAGGTTGAACACCAGACGGGCTGCAGCGTTCTGGATGAGTTGTAGGGGTTTAATGGCACATGCAGGGAGCCCAGCCAACAGCGAGCTGCAGGAATCCAGACGGGAGATGACAAGTGCCTGGATTAGGACCTGTGCCGCTTCCTGTGTAAGGCAGGGTCGTACTCTGTGAATGTTGTAGAGCATGAACCTGCAGGATCGGGTCACCGCTTTGATGTTAGCGGAGAACGACAGGGTATTGTCCAGGGTCACGCCAAGGTTCTTTGCACTCTGGGAGGAGGACACAACGGAGTTGTCAACCATGCTATATATTGTCTTCTTGTCTGCTATCTATAGTGTTCCTGTCTGTTATCGAAGCTGGATCTAATGTCTTCCTGTCTGTTATCGAAGCAGGATCTAATGTCTTCCTGTCTGTTATCGAAGCAGGATCTAATGTCTTCCTGTCTGTTATCGAAGCAGGATCTATAGTCTTCCTGTCTGTTATCGAAGCAGGATCTATAGTCTTCCTGTCTGTTATCTATAGTCTTCCTGTCTGTCATCTATTGTCTTCCTGTCTGTTATCTAATGTCTTCCTGTCTTATCTAAGGAGGATCTATAGTCTTCCTGTCTATTTTCTAAGGAGGATCTATAGTCTTCCTGTCTGTCATCTAAGGAGGATCTATAGTCTTCCTCTCTGTCATCTAAGGAGGATCTATAGTCTTCCTGGAGGCGGCTTATGGTAGCGAAATGAAAATAAAATTATCTGGCAACTTGATTCACATTTGGCATTGTGTTGTGTGACAAAACGGCATATTTTAGAGTGTCCCCATCACAATGTGCAGCTGTGTAATGATCATGCTGTTTAATCAGGTTCTTGATATGCCACACCTGTCAGGTGGATTGATTATCTTGGCAAAGGAGACAAACTCAGTAACACGGATGTAAACAAAATGTGTGCACAAAATGTGATAGAAATAAGCTTTTTGTGCGTATGGAACATTTCTGGGATCTTTTATTTCAGCTCATGAAACATGGGACCAACACTTTACATGTTGCGTTCATATTTTTGTATCTGCAGCAGTGCTCTCCAACCCTGTTCCTGGAGAGCTCCCTTCCTGTAGGGTTTCAATCCAACCCTGTTCCTAGTGAGCTTCCTTCCTGTAGGGTTTCGCTCCAACCCCAGTTGCGCTAGATTAGGGTTGGAGTGGAAACCGACAGGATGGTATCTCTCCAGGAGCAGGGTTGGAGCGGAAACCTACAGGATGGTATCTCTCCAGGAGCAGGGTTGGAGTGGAAACCGACAGGATGGTATCTCTCCAGGAACAGGGTTGGAGTGGAAACCGACAGGATGGTATCTCTCCAGGAGCAGGGTTGGAGTGGAAACCGACAGGATGGTATCTCCAGGAGCAGGGTTGGAGTGGAAACCTACAGGATGGTATCTCTCCAGGAGCAGGGTTGGAGCGGAAACCTACAGGATGGTATCTCTCCAGGAGCAGGGTTGGAGTGGAAACCTACAGGATTGTATCTCTCCAGGAGCAGGGTTGGAGCGGAAACCTACAGGATGGTATCTCTCCAGGAGCAGGGTTGGAGCGGAAACCTACAGGATGGTATCTCTCCAGGAGCAGGGTTGGAGCGGAAACCTACAGGATGGTATCTCTCCAGGAGCAGGGTTGGAGTGGAAACCGACAGGATGGTATCTCTCCAGGAACAGGGTTGGAGTGGAAACCGACAGGATGGTATCTCTGCAGGAGCAGGGTTGGAGTGGAAACCGACAGGATGGTATCTCCAGGAGCAGGGTTGGAGTGGAAACCTACAGGATGGTATCTCTCCAGGAGCAGGGTTGGAGCGGAAACCTACAGGATGGTATCTCTCCAGGAGCAGGGTTGGAGTGGAAACCTACAGGATGGTATCTCTCCAGGAGCAGGGTTGGAGCGGAAACCTACAGGATGGTATCTCTCCAGGAGCAGGGTTGGAGCGGAAACCTACAGGATGGTATCTCTCCAGGAGCAGGGTTGGAGCGGAAACCTACAGGATGGTATCTCTCCAGGAGCAGGGTTGGAGTGGAAACCTACAGGATGGTATCTCTCCAGGAGCAGGGTTGGAGCGGAAACCTACAGGATGGTATCTCTCCAGGAGCAGGGTTGGAGTGGAAACCAACAGGATTGTATCTCTCCAGGAGCAGGGTTGGAGTGGAAACCGACAGGATGGTATCTCTCCAGGAACAGGGTTGGAGGAAACCGACAGGATGGTATCTCTCCAGGAGCAGGGTTGGAGTGGAAACCGACAGGATGGTATCTCCAGGAGCAGGGTTGGAGTGGAAACCTACAGGATGGTGTCTCTCCAGGAGCAGGGTTGGAGCGGAAACCTACAGGATGGTATCTCTCCAGGAGCAGGGTTGGAGTGGAAACCTACAGGATGGTATCTCTCCAGGAGCAGGGTTGGAGCGGAAACCTACAGGATGGTATCTCTCCAGGAGCAGGGTTGGAGTGGAAACCTACAGGATGGTATCTCTCCAGGAGCAGGGTTGGAGCGGAAACCTACAGGATGGTATCTCTCCAGGAGCAGGGTTGGAGTGGAAACCTACAGGATGGTATCTCTCCAGGAGCAGGGTTGGAGCGGAAACCTACAGGATGGTATCTCTCCAGGAGCAGGGTTGGAGTGGAAACCAACAGGATGGTATCTCTCCAGGAGCAGGGTTGGAGCGGAAACCTACAGGATGGTATCTCTCCAGGAGCAGGGTTGGAGCGGAAACCTACAGGATGGTATCTCTCCAGGAGCAGGGTTGGAGCGGAAACCTACAGGATGGTATCTCTCCAGGAGCAGGGTTGGAGCGGAAACCTACAGGATGGTATCTCTCCAGGAGCAGGGTTGGAGTGGAAACCGACAGGATGGTATCTCTCCAGGAGCAGGGTATAGGTAACTGCCAAAATAAAGGAACAGTTGAGGGAATGAGGGATGCAAAGTGTATTGAAAGCAGGTGCTTCCACACAGGTGTGGTTCCTGAGTTAACTAAGCAATTAACTTCCCATAATGCTTAGGGTCATGTATAAACATTATTTTGGCTACCGTGGCTAGAAGAAGC